TACTGTATTTATGTGGAAATGAAAGCAGTCCCTTATTCAGGGGCATATTGTACATGTAAATCTCTGTTGTGGAGCGCTTTCAAGCGAAGGTATACCTCGAGACATTTGATAGCTGTGTCATCCACTTCGGGATCAAACTTATTGGCAAAGAGGTGATGTTGATGCAACATCCAGTGGAGGTCCCCAGATCCATAGACACAGACCGATCTGCGGTGAACACCCGTACAGCGTGGATAGGAAGATCCTTTCTGAATGTCGCCTTCCAAATACTCCCATTTTACCAGTCGAGCAATGGCAATCATGTCGGAGGTGTGGAATTTCTCGTTGATGGGATTCGACCCCGGCACCCCAGACATCCTCTGCAGCGTTGCCCAAAGGTGCTCATCAGGGCTGTAGGTGTCCTTTTCCCATTCAAGTAGTTTCTGTGTCTCCGGGTTTTCAAACACGTGTTTGACAAAATCCCTGGTCACGACAAAGTATGCGTTACCGGAGAACATGGGGGAGCCAATGGGAGGGGGGCTCTTTTTGGTTTCAGTCCTACTTATGTGATCCTTGACCTCGTAATGGTACAACCAGCGGTCTTTTTTATGCCTCGGGGTGGACTCTGATTCAAGGCTGTTCCTGCCGTTGAGGGCTTTGAGGGCATGCACGATTTCCAGGTTGGTTTTAATGGGAAAATCGGTGCCGCAGGTGTTGAGCAGATACCTCCATTGTACAGTTGAGTTCAGCAAGTCCTCCATGCAGTTCAAGTCTGCCTGCACCCTTGACCAAGTGGCGTAGATGACCTTTTCCAGTTTTCTGGCCAAAAATACATTTGGAAAGCAGGACGCAATGGCTTTTACAGCATTCTTGAACTCCTCTGAAGATTTCTGATCCACGTGCACGCAGTACACATTCTGAGGGGTGTATATGGCGCGCAGAAGCCTCTCAAACGTCTCAATTTTTTCATGGATCACCATGGAGTAGGCAATGGGGAAGTCTTTTTCCTCTTTGCTCAGCGGGAATGTGATGAACTTTCTTTCTTGAACATAAGCTTCGCAGTTCTGCGTAATGCTTAAAAAGTACGCTTCTGTTAAAGGTTTTTTCTTATTTGCAACAAGAATCCTGCTTCGAAGCGCTTCCTCGATGGCCTCTGTATCACCTTGAATGATTCTGGAGCAAGTGAGGATGTCCTTTTCCTCCTCAAGCTGGCGAATTTTCCTTGGGTGCAAGTCATCGAGGGGGCAGGTGAGTTTTTTAGTCTGCCAGAGAATTACAGTGAAAGACAGACAAATAAAAGAAAAGGCAGCAGTGTTTGTAAACTTGTGCCGTTTCCAGCCCGATGTGCTGTTTGTCATTTTCTTGAATTTCATCCACTGAACCATTTATGATATTGTTTCTTTAAAAATAGTCTCTTGTAGTATCTTCTTTTGAGAACAGGGTAGCTAATCCTCCACCAAGGTGTAATATCAAACAGATTTTGCTGTGACTCACTGAATTTTATGCAAAACTATAGCACCTGTGAGGAAGGAAGGAGAAGTTTTTTACTTTAGCCAATACAAATAACACAGAAAGATTTTGAATACATGTACAATTGCATTTTGTGTTGCACGGTAGGTGCTGCAATGGATCTGCTGCAGTTCACAGAGTGTACAGTATGTAATAAATGTGCTTAATCTTTGCCATTAAAAAGGGTTTAATGTCAATGTTTGCTGTGAATTTATCCTCTTCTGTGCTTAACCCCTGCCAAAACCTTTTTTTATCCATGCAAGGTGTGGGAGTTTAAAATGTACTTTTGAGGTTTGGAAAGACGTTTTATTTCAACATGTTTGGAAAGAACATGTTTTATTTCCACTAAAACAGGGTTTTGGTTAAAACAAAACTGAATAGACATAATGAATACTGTAGTGCCTACAATTCCGACTTTTTAATGTCACCAGGTGTTTTTTTCTTTCAGCTTTTTTTTTATTTTTTTTATTTTAGAGAATAGATATAACCATTTTCCGTACAAATACCATTACACAACCACAAACAGAAACTCCTAGTTTAAAATTAAAATCAAACAGAAAACATACAACCAGCTGACAGAAAACAGAAATGAGCAGGAGATCCAGTTACACTCTGCCAAGTGTGGAAAAAACAAAACATACCTTTCAGAGCTGGAATTGTGTATGTCCTGCCTTTCGGGACGTTTGGATTAATTTTTTTAGTTTTTCCTGCAATACATAGCAAAGCCAAGAGCCTACACTATGGACGTATAGCTACTCCTTTGTACTGTAGCATTGACAATGACAGCAAAGGAATGTATACTTACATTTTCGTTTCAGAACTGTCTAATATTCAGGCATTTGTTTGGAAAGGCAGTCATATGGCATAATCCTGTGAACTCATTGGTAAATGAATTCCTGCAAGTGGGAAGGGCATTGTAAAACGGTCAAACCTTGGGACTTGGTAAGCTACTTGTACTGTAATTGGTCAAACTTACTGTGCCCAATCCTTTATATTCACAGCACACTTCCTGCTTCAACTGAAAAATAGCATCTCCATTGCTTCCACTAAACAGTGTGTCATACATTTACACCTTCAAGATTTTTTTTTGTATGTTACTTTAACTGAAAACCTCTCAACTTTCAAAGCTCAACTTTCCTCCATCCTGCTCTGGAATAGGCAAGGACAGGCCCTACTAATGACACAGGATTTGATTTGTTAAATTATTAACTTGTTACTTTATGTTCTAGAGTAACAAACGAATAAATCTTATCAAAGATTATAAAATGCAAATTTTATTAAAGCAGACCTACGGTTTTCAGAATTACTCAAACTGTGTAGCTAAGATGTCATTTAAAAATGTTTTTTTTTTTATTTGAGGACATATTGTGGTACTAGCATCAGATTTTCAAGATTTATTTCCTGTTTTTTCAAGAAATGCTTGACATTTACATCATATTTTGCTACTGGAAGGAAAACTTGACAAAAACCCCCAAAAACAGTCACATTCATTTTTGTAATAAAACAAGTTACATAAAAATCATATTTCAAATATGATTACAATTCTGACCCCTGATCTTCTTGTAGATTAAATGTCCAGCAATGTGTATATGCTCTTGTTGGTCACTTGCACAAGAAATATTACAAGTGAAAAATTATGTTTCTTATAACTTCAGGTATAGAATATTATCCATAGTTGTATAAGGAATATAACTTAAATGGGACAGATAGTTTTTAAAATTTAGATATAGATTTAGATTTGGTTCTCTTTCATTCTGTTCAACTGTTTTTTTTTGGTTTGTGGACAATCAATACTACAATAGAAGCTTCACAAGATGTTTTTTTTATTAACCCCTCCTTTTATCAGCAAAAATGTAGTTGAATCTTAAAGACTACATAATCATTCAGGGTTTACATTTGCATTTGTATGTGTGACTCAGTTGTTTCTTTGTGGAGTTATAATAAAGACAAGCACATGAAAAAGCACCTATAATTATTTTCACTTTTGTCATGTATTTTCTGTTTTGTTGTAGTTCTGCAAATTCATCTCCTCAGTGATCACAGCTACACAAACTTTAGGCAATCT